CAAAGAAATACTTCCTTCCTTGTGCACCTTCAAGGAAGTAGTATAAGGAGTAACACTAGGTATAGTCCACTCCTTCTTCACTATATCTCGAAGTTGAGAAGAATTCTTTACTTGAAATTCATTTTGTTCCTCATTCTCAACTTTAAGATAAGTGGCAGCATTAGGATAAAAGTCAAGACTTTTATGAATAAAGAGAGTTCTTTTCAAGGCTTGTTTGGTAATAAAATAACTCTCCTTGGTCACAAATGCCTTAGTGGAGTCCCCTTCATCCGCACTCTTCCCTAAGTGATTTTCTTTTCTTTCTTTATTTCTTTTTCTTTTCATTTGTTTTTGATCCTCAAACACTTGGGGTGGTGTTAAAGGATTAAAAACAATTTCCTTATTTTTATGAGTGAAGGATATTTTGTTAGTGAGGCCATCATGTATAGTGTGTTTATCAAATTGCCATGGCCTACCAAGCAAAATATGACAAGCTTCCATAGGGATCACATCACACAAAACTTTGTCTTTATAGTCCCCTACAGAAAACTTGACCTTCACTTGTTGATTCACCTCTAATTCCTCACCTTCATTAAGCCAATGAAGTTTATAAGGTTGAGGATGAGGAATAGTGGTAAGGGCCAACTTGTTAACCAACCTTGTACTACAGCAGTTAGAACATGATGCACTATCAACAATGAGAGAACAAGGTCTTTTAGAAACTAAACATCTTGTGTGAAAGATGTTCTCTCTTTGTGATAGTGAAGTGGAACAAGGTTGGCTTCCAAGAAGCCTTTTGATCATAAGAAGATCACCATCAACAGGATAATCTTTTCGGGCTCAAGGTCACTAGCTTCTTCACTCTCACTAGAAGAGGAAGATGAGGATTCTTCACTATAAATGTCTTTACCCCTTAAGATCATGGTCTTTTTGGTAGGGCATTGAGAGGCAATGTGACCTCTCCCTAGATACTTAAAACATTTGATCTCACTCGTCTTTGAACTAGTGTGTGAGGTGACCTTTTTTTCATCTTTGTCCATTTCTTGAGTTTTAGAGGGGTTTTATTTAGTATAACTTTTAAAGGAACTTCCCTCCCTCTTGTGCTTTTCTTTGTTATAAGATTTAGAGTTGGTATTTTTAAAGGATTTTCTAAGAATTTGTTGCTCAACCCTTATACAAAGTTGGACCAAATCATCAAGGTCCCTATAAGGGAGTAACTCAACTCTATCTCTTATTTCAAAGTTTATACCACTCAAGAAACGAGCAATGGTTAATCTCTCTTCCTCCCTTATTCCAGCCCTCATTAAATTTGTCTCAATAGTCCAATCTTAGGTCTCATGTCATTTGTCCATATTTCACATGGTCATGTCATAATTACTCCTCATAAGGTCCGCACAGGAATTCACAGAAATCTACAGAAAGCATTCTTATTCATATTAAAACTTATTTACATTAATTTCATATTCATTATTACTTTCAACAAGAAACAAGGTAAAGCAAATAGAAAGTAAAATAGAACAACAACAAGGGATTAGGGGCCAATCCGACAATCAAACTATCCAACAATTATCCCCACACCCCCGAGCGAGGTTTCTCACTCCCCCCTTACCTGGATAAGCAAGAGTTGAAACTTGAGCAGAACCTCTTCCTCTGGATTCCCTTTTTCTTTCCCTCTCTTTCTTTCTCTCTCTCTCTCTCTCTTTCTTTTTCTCTCTCTCTAAGATTTTTACCTTCTCACTACGTTATAAATTTTTCACCCTCCTGCCTCTATTTATAGGCATCCTGGCGCACCCGGAACGGCCCGTACTGAATTCGAAACGGCCCATTCCGGTGCCTTCAAATATAGGCAAATTTTTCAACTGGAATGACCCGTTCTAAAATCAGAACGACCCGTTTCCAAAAAGCAGAACGGCCCGTTCTAAAATTAGAACGGCCCGCTCTGGAGTTCACTTTACACAGATTGACCATAAGGAGAACGACCCATTTCCAACTTAACTTTTTTAGGCGTTTTTAGGAATCCGGAACGGCCCGTTTCCCTTTGGGAATGGCCCGTTCTGGAAAAATCAAAATTGGCCTTTTTATTACTTTGGAACGGCCCGTTCCACTTTTGGAACGACCTGTTCCACTTTTGGAATGGCCCGTTCTGCCACTTCAAAATCAGTATATTTTCAATGTTTGGAACGGCCCGTTCCACTTTTGGAACAACCCGTTCCAACCTAAAGAAACAGAATTTTATAAAAGAATTTCATAAATAATTTAAATTATTAAAAACCTTTACAATATTTTATAAAAACCCTTTTAATAAACTATAATAAATATAGATAATAATCAACATTGTATTAGTAGAAAATTTGGGGTGTTACATTAACTGTTCCAGCCACTGTTTACTATGATGGACAAATTGTCTCCACTGAGCATGAAGATACATTTGTTAGCAATGAGGTTAAAACCATACTGGTAAGCAATATGATGACTTATCAACAACTTAAGCAGGTTATTAATAATAACCTTAATCTTTCTCATTACAAAGTTATCACAAATATCCACTACCGATACCCAAATTCATGTATCGGTACTGTATATAAATATACAGCATGTCATCTTAGGAATGATGAAGATGTGGAGTGTATATTTTCATTGTTCACAGAACTGCAGACCTAACAAGTCTCGAATTGTATGCTACCATGACGTATATTGGATTATTTCATGGGATATAAGCGATTGAAAGATACCTTGACCAAGCAATGAAGTTAGACAACTAATATTATATGATTTAAGTTTTATGTTATTTATCTATTATGTTTGAAGTTTGTTTAAATTGTATCTTTTTAAAAATTATTTTCAATGATATAACCGTTATAATTAGTGTACTTAATATATAATGTCATTAATAAATTACAATTTTAAAATTTCTATATTTAATAAATTTAATTTAAATAATAAAATTAATTTTATACTTCTAAAATTTAGTATAATAAATAAGTTTTAACATTTTCTTTATTTTTAACATAAATTTAAAATATTATACAAAATTTTATAATTTTATATATAATTCTAAAAATTATAGTTAACTATATTTATTTTAAAAAATTTAAAATTAGAAATATTATAATTTATAAATAAATATAATATTAATTTGATTATTAAGTATTATTCTTTATAAATTATTTAATTTAAATATTAAATAAAATTTAAAAATTAATTATACTTTTTTTAAAATTCTAAAAATCAAAAACTGAATTTTTTTTACAAAATCTAAAAAACAAGGTCAAAAAAATGAAAAAGAAAAAGACCCGAGTAAAAAATTAGTTACTGAGTAACCGCTTTCTCAAAAGAATTTTGAAATTTTTTTTTAAAAATTCCTTTGAGAAATCGGTTACTGGGTAACCGATTTCTCACTTGGACCTCAAAAACGGCTTATTTGTGTAAATAATCCTATAGCTCAGGTTATTTAAATAAATAATTTTTTTGATTTATTAAAAAAAAAGAGTCTCATTTTGGACAGGCGAGAAGGTGCATTGGCCCAATCAAATTTTTTTACAATTTCTGTGCCCGACCTGTGACTCTCTGGTACCCGAAACTTGAAAGACACGCGAGTGAGTCAACGACAACTTTTCCAACACGGTGCGTTGCACCCTTTAGTTTGGGTTTTTATTCACTTTCTTCTTCATCACCTTGGAAAACTCTGGACGATTCACCTCCCCATTTTCCCTTACCGATTCATAAATACATTATTTTAAGTACCCATTAACGTACGATAGAATCTTCTAGAGAGAGAATAGGGCGAAATGGGGCCAAACGCTGCAGCGGCGAAACAAGCGGAGAAGCTCAGAAATGACGGCAACACTTACTTCAAGAAAGACCGTTTTGGAGCCGCCATCGACGCTTACACCGAGGTACTCTTCTTCTCCTTCTTCTGTTATCGTTACCCTTAGCGAGAAATTGAGGATTTAACCTTTCATTTCTTTTGTATGGGTTTGAAGGCAATTACGCTGTGCCCCAATGTTCCGGTTTATTGGACCAATCGTGCGCTGTGTCATCTCAAGCGCAAGTATGTGTGAGCGTATAATTAAGCACTTCTTTGTTTTTCTTTATGATTTTAATTGGATTTATTGCGGTTTTATTTTCTCCTAATTTTTCTGAAATTTAGTGATTGCAATGTGATTTTGAATGCTTTTTCTGATGTGTTTGGTTTGGTTTGGTTGTAGTGATTGGGAGAGAGTAGAGGAAGATTCCCGGAGAGCAATTCAGTTGGACAGCAATTCGGTTAAGGTTTTTGTAGTTCCTTCTGTTGTTGACATGTTGGTTGATGATTTAGCTTCTATCTGTGGCTTTATTCCATGATTTAAGTATTTGGAATTGAGTGTGCTGCACGTTTAGTTGTGCCTTGGCTTTGGTATAGATGTATTTGTGCTTGGTTGTTAGTGGTGCACAAAACTAAATGAGGAACTAGATTCTTGAAATGTGAACTATGTAGCCTGGTTACCCAAAAAAAAAAGCCAAAGATTGGTGATTGATGCAGATGTGATACCGATACACGAGTCATAGTATTTTCCTTTTCTATTTGGTTTCTAAACTTTTATTGATCAATGCATTTGGGATATGATTTTGATAATTTGAATGTCTTTTCCAAGATGTTCTTGAAGCTATAGTAAATGGTAGATAATTATCCTCAAAGAGTCATAGTATTTACTTTTTTGAGAATCTGAAGTTGGGAACATGGTCACATAATTTGCTGGTTGTGGGAGAGAACCATGAATTGGGTTGTGCATACCAATTCATGTTTCGTCCAAATTTGTTAGTTTGCACCTTTCCAGTTCCCACATTGTGTTACACTTCCCGTTATGTTGTCTTAGAATTTTCATCTCTCCACATTCTGTCACAACTTCCCACATTTTGTCACAACTTCCCACATTCTGCCACAACTTCCCACACACAACCTCCCACACAGGTGAGGATATGATAACATGTATAAATGATGTCTTTACATGTTTTAAAGGACACATTATACATATATACATTATATTTCTATTTTCAATTTATACAAATTTTATCTAGATAAAAAAATTATTTGCATCATGGTAATTTATAATTAGAATTTATTATAAATTGAAATAACAATTGAAGTGTACCAACTATTCATACCCCGTGGACTAATACTTTTTTTGTGGTCACGTATTCATATCCGTACCATGTACCAAAGCGTACTATGAATCATGTGACTATGGTTGGAAATATTAGTTTCCTATGTTTGGTTTGTTATTTAGAAAGTAGCATTCTATGAAATATTGTTTTTTTGAGATTTTTTTTTACATTGGTTTCCCAAAAAATTGTCCCCAAGGGGGGACTAACATTTTCTAGTTAAAAAAAAAAAGCTTTAATGCAGTAAAAACATAATGTTATCTTTATTTTCCTTTTTAATGTAATAAAAATATTTGATTTTCCGGAAATATTTATAAATATTCCAAATAACATTTATAACCAACTAAACAAGTTTTAATTATTCTCAGGAATCCTGATTCCCAAGATTTATGATTCCATGAATCATGATTTTTATACATAAAAAAGATTGTGTTCCAAACAGTAGCACACACTTGATATTATTTTCCTTTTATTTTTGTTTCTTATGAATTTTTATTGATTGGTGCATTTTGGATATGACTTTTTAGATGGTAGGCAGTTATACAAAGGGAAAGATTCTTTAGAATGTTGTTATTTGGGGTTAAATATGTAATTTTTTGTTACATCTTCAAAGGGGAAATGATTTATTCTGATATTGAGCAAGGGAAAGAAAGATATATAACCAGGGAGGTTTGTTGTGATTGCATTTTTTTTATAATTGTGATTTTCTTCCACTGATGAATCGATGATTATGTATCAATAGAAATTATTAGTGTCTTTCTTCCAATATTGTACATTTATATAAAATGTTTATTTATGTCATGTTATTGTATTTAAATGTATCTTATTGTGGATTTTTAGGAATTTCCTGAATCTCTGTATCCGTGTTGCATTGTACTTGTGTCATATTAACTTATCATGTATTGGGCTTCATAAAATGTAAAGTAGTTGCGAAAACATTGATTAGCACAATTTTGAGTATATGAATAAATAGTGTTTCCAACCCATACCACATAGATCCTTTTATTTCAAATCTTTTCCATGCTACCCAAAATTTAAGCAATTCCCTTGGGTGGATTGGCCTTGGCTTTCTTAATCAATTCCAGGATTCTACTATTCCACATTCTATTTTTCAGAGAAACCTGCATGTCTTGTGATCATTGCCAATTGCAATTGGATTTATTTTTTTCAGAAAGGCTTTATGGGAAATCTGAACTCTGAAATGATCCTTTTCTTCAGTGGTTGGATTTTGTAAAACAATTGCTAGATTTTGTAAACTCAAGGACCAATTCTGTGCTTGGTAGTGGTAAGTCAGGATGATATTAGGTGCCATTTTAAATGTAAACTAAGGCCTTGTTATACTTTTCTTTTTGTTTTTTAAAATATGGAAAAACCTCCACTGGTTATTTTTCAACACTAACCCAGATTTATTTAAGGTTTTAGATGTTGGCCTAGTTTCCAAAACAAGGAGTTTTCCTATTTTTGTTTTTCTTTAATAAAATAAAATTCTTGGTTCATCTAGTATTTTTTTATCTTTCTGGTGTAAGGTGTTGTATTCAGTCTTTCGAATTATTGTTACGGGTTGGAATGAGTTTGTAATATCTTAATTTTGTCTTGTGATATTTTAAATGCCTTTTGTTTCACTAATATGCCTATTTGGATTAGAATAGAAATGGAGAGAAAAGAAAAGAGAGAAAGAAATAGGGAGGGTAGAAGTAAAAGAGAAATAAAGTAGAAAATATTTAATTTGAATGAATAGAAATAAGAAGGAAAACAATGGAGAATTTTCTTTCCACTTGTTTGGATGAGTTGAAGGGTGGATGGAAATAAATAAGTTGTATTGAATAGCTTTTGATACTAATTAAAAAGTTAAACTTTTTACTATGTTGTTATTATTATTATTATTATTATTATTAATATTATTATTATAAATCAAGTTTAAATACGTTTTTAGTCCCTCAAATTTGGAGCAAAATTTGTTTTTGGTTCTTCAAGTTTAAATTGATTATTTTAGTCCCTGTAAATAATAATAATAAAAAAAACTTTTAGTTCGTCAGGATCATCAGTAGTATCATTGATAGTATCGGATTGAGTCATTTGTGCAGTATTAGTGGGATTTAGCGTGATGTTTTAAAAAATAAAGATATTAATTGATAGATTTTGTGTAACCGATTCAGTGATCGGTGAGGTATTTTTTTTTGACAGATTCACTAACTACATTTGAGCATGCCTTTTTCTAAACCAGTTGATGTACTTGTCTTCAAAATCCAGATATTCTTGGGACAAAGCTTGAGCATTATTTCTTCCTTTTTTTTTTATATTTTATTTTATAATAGTGATGCAACAATACTAAGTTGTGTTTCTAATTTGTTTAAAGACTAGAAAGAAAGCAATAAATCTGAATTGTATTTCAGACTTGTATTTACAGAGATTTTGTTACTTATAGACTTGGTCTCACCCATTTAAGCAAATAAAAAGGGAATAAATACTGCACTAATCAAATTGTATCACATCAAATCTGTCTTACTCTAAGAATCACATTTTGCCTAGTTATAGTAATAAATCTGCAACCATAATAGGAATAAATTAATTTTTCTTGATTATATTTCAACACTCTCCCTCAAGCTATATCTATCATTCACATCTTGCAAGTAAGATCCTAAAAGTACTATGTGGAAAGTCCCTTGAAGAGTATAGGCTCTCGTTGGAAATGACTCTGAATCTTCTGATGGTGGCTTCAGTTTATCAGGGTGCAACACTAATGAAGGTTACTGTCAAGTGGATATAATGAATGTAGCCTATGAAGGTGACAAAGGCTGCAATGAAGGCATTGAAAAGGAGGCACAATGATGGTGCCAAATGCTGCAATGAAGGCGGTGAAAAAGGGGGCTCAATGAAGGTGCCAAATGCTTCAATGAAGGCAGCAAAAGAAGGGCACAGTGAAAGTGCGGAATGTTGTAATAAAGGCGACAGAAAATGGGAACATCAAACAAAAACTGAAGCAACAGCCAAGCAAGAAGTGGGTCTTTTATAAGTGAAATCCAGAGACCAAATGTGGTCAAAACAAAATGAGAGCTAAATAGTAGCAAATGTTAGTTAACAAACAAAAAAAGACCAACAGTATAGAAGAGGCAACAATGGCATAATAGGCGAGTAATTTGAAGTAAGAATCATGAAATTAAAGTAAAACTACAAATTTTAAGGAGCTTGGTAGGGAAATAGTGATGGGACAGGGCACATTGGGTGGCACCACTTTGATACCATGATTTAAGAAAGATTTGAAAGAAAGGAATAAATCTGAATTGTATTTCTATTTTCTAACTTTTATTGTTAGATATTACACATGGTATCGATTAAACACAAAATTTAGTCTCTATATGTGTTGTGGATTCTCAATTTGGTCCTTATATGTAAAACCTCAATAAACTGGTCCCTCTGTGTAAATGTTACCAGTTTAGTTCTTACTGTCATATGTTGACTGTTAAGTTCCTTACACGTTCTTAATTTGGTCAAAATAATGTTTTCCCAATGGAAGCTACACCCCGTGAGTGCAAATTAATTTTTAGTTGTCAGCTTTGGGATATTGCTTGAACTATATCCATAGACAAAAAACAGTTATCAATCTTGGATAGTCTCATGGAGTGGCCAACACTAAAATTGTGTAGCAAGATAGTGGGACTGTTGATATAGTGAAGACTACGGTACAAATCAAATAATTTAACTTACCCATTTATAAATGTTGAAAAATGAAAAAATTCACAGAATGGAACATATTCATATTTAATAACCAAAATTTATATTCTTAAGCTAAACACACTGGCCAATAATAACAAAAGCTCTATTTAAGCCTCTACGTGGATGATGCCATGATTGCAGAGGACATGAAGTTTGGACCAATGAAGTTAAAAACAAGGCAAAACCAGAACAGTGCGCCAGGATAGAAAAGAGGCTTTGCATGTAGAACAGATATTGACTGTCTAGTGGTTTGTGAGAGAGCTGTATAGAATTGAGTAAAATCACTGTGTTGGTTGAAGTTGTTGGCACCTGCATCTTATGTTTGATAATTTTGTTGTTTGTTTGTTGATCATTTATTTTTTAGTAAGTTACATTGACACTTCTCTTGAGGTTTTGTGAAATTACACATATTCTCCATGCTTTTTGAATGTTTATAACAATTTTTCTTATAGGAGAACATGGTGTAATGTTGTTCAAACTATTCAGGGGGGTTAGTGTAATGTTTTCCAGACAATTTAAGGTGTTAGTGTAGGGATAGAAAAAACAGGGGACGTGTGTGCAAATTTAATTTGCCCTTTACTTTTTCATTGTTAATCTATGTACTTTGTGTTGATTGTCTTGTTTCCAGCTGAATTTTCTTTTCTTTATACATTTCAGGCCCACTATATGTTGGGGCTTGCATTGTTACAGAGACAAGAATCTTCCAAGGGAATCAGAGAACTGGAGAAGGTTTGTGGAAATTGAACACCTTTTTGGTCTGTTTCTTGCACATTTATTAATTTGTTATTTGTAATATTTGCTGCAAGTTGCAACAGCAAGATATCATTTAGTGCTTTATTGATTGTTAGTAAGATTGAGTCTTGCAGCTTGCAGTTGAAGTGTTTAACTTGTACAATGTTTTGTTGCCTACTGTGTTTGTAACTTGGTGAATTTAAAAGCCTCATACAACTGAGAAATATCGCATCAAAACCCAAAAATCAGTATTAAAAGATAATAAAATAATTTATTAATCCAAAATCACATCTTTTATGCTGTATTTTTTTTTATTTTTTTTATTTTTTTTTAATGAAAAGAAATATATATTGGTGAACTGTCTGAAAATATATGAAACCAATCAAATTACATTAAAAAACGTAACTATTATTTTCTTTTTGTATGTAAATAAATTTGGGTGTTATAATCTATTTTTGAATTTAATATATAAGATGTTTTTAAATGTGATGTTATTCATAGTTTAAACCAATTCTAATATTTAGTACTAGGAGTAGTTTATAGGGTTATAAAACACTTGAGTTATTCCAGTCACTGTATTTTCTGTTCTTTTGTTTGCTTTTGGATCTGTTTTCTTGGATATTCTTAAATCACTGAATTGTCAAATAGAATAACGCCACATTTTATGAACAGTGCACTTTCGAGGTTCCTCCAGTTCTTGTTCTTGTATGCTTTCTATAAGATGGTGAAGCTGTGTGTATAAATTGTCGGATCCTTGCTAATGATCTAGTCTGAGTTAATGAAGGCGATGGGCATTTTCTTCCATTGACCAGCATTATACATTTTCACTCACGATTGTCGGAAGTCTTTTATATTTTTAATATTTTTCGAAGTTTCTTTCTTATTTATCTCTTGTTTTATTCTTTGTACTTCCTTTTTTGAATTGAAAATTTTGTTTAGAATCTGTTTTTACTTCCGTAGTTTTATTTTATTCAGTAATTATTTGAAAAGCAGTTCAACTTACTTCAAACCTGGATTGGATTGGTGAGACTTGGGAGTAGGTATAAAAATCCTAGTTTTTTTTTTTTTTTTTTTGGTTTTGTTTTTCCTTTTATTTGTCATATTTTATATCTCTTACATGTTATATTGGTGTTAAGTTGAAAACTATATTTAAGATATACTGTTAGTGGAGGTTATTTCTGTCAAGTTGGTTCAGATTGCTACACTGGTTGACTAAAGAGATTGTTATACTGTGAGTAGATGTTTTCAAACTTTCAACTCAGCTTTCTATGCCTTATGGTTTCTTGCATGTGGTAAAAATGTTTAGTGGTGGTGCATGTAGAATAATAGTGTTCGCTGTGCTGGTGGAAGATCAGGGCATGGAATTTTTGCTCACTTTCTTTTTCACTTAACTAATGCATTTTTCCATATTTTCTATCAGTATTATGAGTTGCATTGCCATGTTATTATAGACATGCCATTTATGATACTTGCGTTCCTGTTTGGTTATGAGATTTGATGGACAGAAGCAAAGGAGGACCGGGCATTTATGTTAGGGGCAGTTTTAGACTCATGTTTTGCCAGTTCCTAATAATTGCCTGCTTGAGTCGTTCCACTTTGCTTGTTTCTGTCTTTAGTCCTTTTATTTCACAATTTCCTTATCTTTTCTTTATTTGATTGAGATTTTCCCTTTATTGAAAATGACTAAAGTAATAAATAAGACATAATGTCTGATAATTGGCTTACTATTGAGCTGTTAAGGGACATGGTGCTCCCTTCTTTTGAATTTGATGTCGCATCTGATTTAATATAACATTCCTGATTTACTGTCTGCTTCACTTATGTCAGATATTAACAGTTATTTTACCCGTTTTTTCTTTCTTCTTAAATTGAAATGAATGATCATTCTCTAATTGTTTGTCATAATTAAGGCTTTGGATCTTGGGAGAGGGGCCAATCCCAAGGGCTATATGGTAGAAGAAATATGGCAAGAGCTTGCAAAGGCAAAATACCATGAGTGGGAACGAACATCATCCAAACGATCATGGGAATTGCAGAGCTTGAAGTATGTTTTTCTGGTGATTGTCAAACCAATTATCTGAGGGTCCTTTAGCAATGATTGCAGTTTTGTTTTCTCTTATCATATTTGTTATTACCTAGTGCATAATTAGTTTTGTTTGTCAACTATGAATTATTTATGGTTTAGTGGTTCTTAACTATAGTGCCAATTGTCAAGTGTTATTGTCATAAAGTGTGTAAATGTCACAGAGAAGCTTGCGAGTCTGCATTGAAGGAAAAACATTTTCTCGATGTCACCCAAATGGAAGGATTTGTAGAAGATGCTACCACTTCCCATTTGGAACAATTAGAAGCTTTAGAAAGAGTGATCAATAAAAAAGCAGAGGCTGACACACCTACTGAGGTGTGTACATGGCTTGTTTTCTTAATTCCATCTTCATGAATCACTTGGATTGCGCCATGTTATTAATCACTCGGATTGATTTGTTGAGTCTACAGGTGCCAGATTATTTGTGCTGTAGAATCACACTCGATATTTATCATGATCCTGTAATCACTCCAAGTGGACTTACATATGAGAGAGAAGTGATTCTTGAACATCTTCAGAAGGTAATCTGATTTGCATGTTTCATCTTCCGGATTGAATGTTTTGTATTTCAATGAAGTGGGTGCAATAATTCAACTTGTTAAATAGGTGGGTAAGTTCGACCCAATCACGCGGGAACCCCTTGATCAATCACAGTTAGTGCCGAACTTAGCCATTAAGGAAGCAGTTCAGGCATTCTTGGATAAACATGGTTGGGCGTACAAGGTAGATTAACGGAAGAATAAGTTACAAGGTAGTTTTTGTGTGTTCAGCAATGCAGCAGGATGTTGTATTCTGCAAGCGTGTTCGAAGTTGTTTGTTTTAATTGTTAATTGTGTTTGCAGTTTCGTGGCGTCCTGACTTTTGAACATCAATCTAATTATCAAGTGTATATATGGTTCACTGTCATACATTGTGTAAATATATATGGGTGCTTGCCTGCTGAGACTTCTTTTTTCATTTGTCTTGTCAAATCAAAATTTTAAACCAATCCTTTAGACATTTGTCTTTTTTGAGATATCATGTCGGACAAATTATTAATTAATCAAAATTTAATTCCATTATAATTTCTGCAAATTTATAAATTATTATTATTATTCATGTAGAGATGAATTTTTTTTTATTGCAGTCAAAATGAAATGGTGTTACGTATATAGATCATTTTTATTTTTATTTTTTAATTTAGTATCTATTCTTATTCCCATATAAATTTCTTCCAAAAATTATTCTTTTATTATGGAAAAAAAATCTCTCACTTTTGCCTTTCAAAGTTTCTTTTAGTTTATTTGTGTGCTGGTCTAGGACGTTAATGCTGTGTTTAGTAGTGAGGATGGAAGGGAAGAGTAGTTGACATAATAGGTGAAAAGTGTTTGGTAGTGAGGATGGAAGAAGGGAAGAGTAGTGGAGAGAATAGGTGAAAAAAGAAAAGAGAATTAGATGAGAAATAAAGTAAAAATTAAAATTTTTTAATCAGGAAAAAATAAAGGAAAATTTAAAGAAATTATTTTTTTAATTGATTTATATTAAATTAAACAGTGTTAAAATGATATTATAAATTAATCTGCAAATATATTCTATTCTAACACCACAACCACAAGTAATGTTACAAAGGTACAATAGTAACTACAAGCTACCTCCTAAATTACTCGCTTGAGAGGATGATAGACCACAAGTAATGTTACAAAGGTACATTAGCAACTACTAGCTACCTCCTAAATTACTCGCTCAAGAGGATGATACAAAATAGGTAGGGCTCACACATTTAATTCCTCTTTTTCTCTTACACCAAACATAATGCATTCACTCTATTTCATACACTTCTTTCATCTTCCTCCTTCCGTGCAGTTCCCTTGTACAAAACGGGGTGTAGGGGTGGGCATGGATCGGTTTTTTTTAAAAACCGATCCGAAAAACAATATTGAAGGGTGGAGATGAAGGTGCGCGAAAATGGAGGCCGGAAGGTGGAAGGTGTTTTTGGTGCTCTTGGCTAGCTCTCTCCACCAAGGGTTGGTGGAGGCCACTCAAGGGAAACTCAAACTCTCTTTAGGGTAGAGAGGAGAAGAGGTTGGGCATGAGGACCCTAGGAGACTAAGGAAGGATTTTGAGGCACAAAGGCTCACTCAAAATGCATATATTCCAAAGTGGGTACAAGGTGGAGGGACTAGAGTACTTATAGAGATAGAGGAGCATCCTAGGGTTTCTTGGGAGCATTTGGCC